TATACCTCTTCAAGTATAAAACCTTCCAACTATAACATATTCGTCCAATTGCTTTGTGATCTTTTGGACAATAGTTTTTCTGTTATCAGTTGTTAGTTAATCATGTTTAGTAAAAGTAATCACAGTCAACAATATATAAAATATTTTCTACACCTATTGGATACCCGATATACATCTGATATTAGAGACGTACCATGCACATATCAGATACCTGATGTGTGTATAATTTATCAATTTTTGACCAGTGTTCAAATATTTTTTAAAGTATTAAACTTTTGAAAAGCATAACACCCATAATATTATGGAATTTTCAAATTTACATCTGAAAAAGTTATAATTTACATTTATATGTAATATATTAAAAAAATAAATTTTTTTTTAAAAAAAAACAAATTCCATTATATGTAAATTAATTTGCAAATTTGCAAAATATTTTGAAAATTCCACAAAAAATTTTTGAAAATATATGCAATAAAAAAATATTCAAAAACTTGTGAAAGATTTCCAGAAATTTTCACAAAAATTTTCAGAAATTTATTACTTTGAAAAATTTCCAGAGATTTTTGCCTCTAAAATTTCCTAATGACTTTCTAACACAAGTGACCAAAAGATTTTAATTTTTTTATCAGTTGAAAGTGGAACTGGAAAAATGTGACTTAATACATTGCTGTTAGCACCTTCTAGAAGTGTAAATATAAATATTGTGTCCACCTTTCCATGTTGATTGATCCATTCAAGGAATTTAAGAGTTTTGTTTTCAATATATATAATAAAGATTGATTGAAACTGCTAATATATATTTTTAATTAAAAATATATTCATTTTTAGCAAAAAGGATATCCATTACCAAATCAAAAATGATCCAAGTTGTAATACAGAAATGTTATGACCTTTAACGAAAATTTAAATAATACACACAAAATTTCACTTTTTTATAATATTATTAAATATACTAAGTAAATGGGATAACATTTGTTTTTTTTTATGCTAACAAGAGAAGCACAAAAAATTAGGACTACTAATTAAAACGCCTAAAAATTTTCACTTGTATTTATCCATAAATTTTCTAATATTATTCCGGAAAAAATAGATAAATAAATAAAAAATAGGAATTGTTCTAATCGTCCTTAAGAGTAAATATTGTGATATCAAGTATATGCTAACAATTCAATATACGTATTTGCTTAAATCACGGGATTTAAATGTGAATTTACCTTTATTTTTAATCATTTCATTTAAACCTTTTACGCTTCTTTTAGATGATTTTAGTATTAAAAAAAAGATTAATTTCCGACAGCATAAAATGATCACCAAATGGAATACTACTTAATATAATTGTGTAAAGGTAAAACGAATGGGAAAAATTTTATAACAGAGCTGGGAGATAAATAATTTAAAATTTTCGACATAAAGAATGGTTTGATTGGTCCATTCCATTGTAATCGTGACCAATTCTAAAGGTGAAACTTCACAATTCACTGATCGTAAGTTAATATTATATTGAGGAGACAATTGATAAAAGCATTATTAGTTTTATTTATGTATCATTATATCCCTTTACATAAGCGTGAATCCCCAGCGCGAATTTTTCAAATCAATAATTCCATTAAAATACAATAATTTGAATTTATTATTTCTAAAAAAAAACCATGTGAGACGATACGTCACCACATTCGGCATGCTTCTTTTAGTTACAGTGATTTAAAGTTATCTATATGGTTAATCCTCATTCATGTCAGGATTAGAGAAATATAATCCTTTTGAAATGCATTAAGCACCAATCTCGGTTTTACTTGCAATAAATAATATATCGATCGATAAACAATTAGAACATTAAATATTTCTGGAAATGAATTCGTTTCCCTGTAAGTAAAATGGAGACATTAACGTTATCATTTCGAAAAAAAATAATAGAATAAAAGAAAATAGAAAAGTGATGAATTTTTTAGAAAAATTTATCAAGTTTTTTTTTTTTTTTTTTTTATTTTTATTTTTGGTTTTTGAGGGATTGTTTATGTTATGTAATAATCATAAAAAATATCTTTTTAAATTTAATTTTTTAATTAATAAATTAAATAATTGACTTTATTAATAAAGCTAAATCATAATATTAAATAATTATTATTAAAGATTAAAAATAATCAAATCAAAAATTAAATTAAATTAAAAACGAGAAAAATAGTTATAAAAATAAAGTTGTAGTCAAATTCCGATCTAAATAAAAGAGGATGAATTGGATGATGATTAATGATAATGATTAGCTTCGGACAAAAATAACATTTTTATTAAATTTATAATATAAACATGATGATCTCTGTAACACGAAATCTCAAACAAATTACTAAAAAGCGAAGCCGTTTTAAGAATGGATTTCGAGTAAAAAACTTATAAAAACATATAAATTTATTGCCCATTCAATTTTTATCCCTTTTTTTAACTCTATTTTTTTTTTGTTTCTAGATATTAGGAAGATATAGAACTCTCGATTCTTTTAATTCCCCCAACCCATATAATTTATCACCGCACAACCCAAACACAATTCATCAACAAATATTTATTTAATAAATTTACTAAGATTAATAACAGATTAATAGTATAATAAGTTAATAACAGATAAATAACATGAAATCAACAACGATGAAAACACAAAAACAACAAAAAATAAAAAATAGCTTTTTAGCATTATCAGTGATGATTATATTGTTGTTAGATTTTGTCAATCCCGTAAATGCTGCTGGCATAAATTTACGTGGTGTTTGCACAGCAGGTGATCATCAATATATACTTTAATACAGAACACTAGTAGTATACTTAAATACTTAATTAATACATTTAATTGAAAATATTTACTCTCTAATTTATTTGTTTTATTTATTTATATTAACAGACGCTGGCAAAATCGCATCATTAAAAATCGGTCCCCCCAAAAATTTTGATCTTCAAGTGTCATTTACAGCGAAAACTTATACTCGTGGAACCCCAGTACTCATCACAATAGATGTTAATAAAGATGAAATCGATGCAATGTTAATTTATGCATTTGGAAAAGGAGATGATAAATTTCGTGTAGGAAGTTGGGATTCTACTAATGTATTTAATTGGGATAGTATGTTTTATATTTTATTTTATTTAATATCTATTCTATCTATAATAAAAATAAAATATCTAATAAATAAATATATCATATATATCATATATATATATATTATTATTATTTTTTTTAGTTACATGTGGAAGTACACAAGCAGATCAAAATTCTACAGTGGTAGCAGTCGGTCAACTTGCAACGGTAGTAACTCTCAACTGGTATCCACCAAATTCTTCAGGAAACGGTGACATATCTTTTCGAGCTTTAGTAATCAATAAAAATGGTTATGAACTTATAACTACAAATTCACTTGCAGATTCGACTCATTCTCCTGTTTCTACTAATGTTAATACAGCTACTATTACTAAGAGTAGTAGTGCAGCTTCAACTAAAAGTCAATCATTACCATCAAAAACTTCAATTAGTAAGGTTACTACTAATGTTCCAGACCCATACAGTAATGCCATTAGTAATTTAGATTCTTCTTTTATTGTTTTAATGTTATCTTCTACCTCCTTATTATTAATGTTCTCTTTTCCCTTAATTAATATAATGATTTTGTGATTTTAATGATTTTAATAATCTAATAATAATAATAATCAAAAATTTGGTTTTTGTTCTTTCAATAAAACAATTTTTGTAGACTTTTTTTTCTTTCCTAAATAATTAGAATAATTAAATACCCCTATAATTTTTTTAAAAAAAAAATAAATTTAAAATTTAGATAATTTATAATTTATAATAATTTAGAAAGACTGTTCATAATTTTTTTAAATTAAAGAATAATTCTCTCTTTTCACACTTTCTCATACTTTAAATAACAATTCCTCCTCCTTTTCTCTTCTAATATCTCCTATATTCCATTTGGCAACAAATTTATAGAATTAATAAAGAATTAATAAAACGAATCAATTACTATTCTTATTAATTATTATATTTATCATATTAGAATTAAAAAATAGAAAGAGGTCCCATGTAATGTATTAACGTGTTCTGATCGAGTCGAGTCGAGTGTATGATTTTAATCAATGATAAAGAATTATTTAACTATAAAATCATCAACTTTAATATTCTGTTCTCTAAAAAAAATACTCTCAATGCAATACATTTAAAGGATAATGTGTAAGTGTCAACTGCAGGTATAATTTATCAATAATAATAAAGAAATAATTTATTCTCTAAAATAAAAAATAAAAAGTAATTAACTTAAAAATGTTTATTATAATAATATTATTATCAATATTTATTATTTAACAACATTCAATGTCTTTTTCAATATTATTTTTTTTGTCTCCAATAGATGAATGAATACATTACATATAATGAATATTAATGAATATGGAAGATCAATTATTTAAATCATGCAACAGTTGTCTCTTGGGCGGCTTTTTCATTTTCATACCGTTTCTTATCTCTAGCGGCTAATTCTTTGTATGGCTATTATTATTATTATTATTATTATTAGTGAGAAAGGAAGTCGTGAGAAAAAAAATGAAAGAAAGAAGGAAAGAAAAAAAAAGAAAAAAAAAGAAGTGAAAGTGAGAAACAATTAAAAATAATTAATTAAATTACAATTTTCTCATTTTCCGACATATTCCTCCATTTTTCACCAAGGAGTTTTCCAATATCGGCTAATATTATTATTAACATAAAATACAAATAAATATAAATAAAAAAATATTATAAAATATAATAATAAAATAATAATAAAATATTATAATAAAATTCATCATACCAAAAGTTGCATTTGGATGTTCTGCTTTAGTTTTTTCTCTATAATCACGAGAAAAATATATGTAAGCCGAAAGATTACGTTTAGGTTCTGAAGAATCTTTTTCCTTTCTACTTTTAATTTCTTTTTTATTGGTTTCAATTCCTTTTTGTCTGGTAGGACGATCGATCTTCGTGTTGGATTTCTTGGATTTGGGCATATTTTTTTTTTCTCTTTTATTAAGTTCTACGTAAATCGAGGTAATAATAATAATAATAATAATAATAGTAATTAAATTAACTGTTAATAATTTATTAATATTGAATTATTTATTTGGACAGGGAAGGAAAAAAAAATTCTTTTTTGAAATTAAAAAAAGTATTTATTATTATTATAAGTAAGTAATATGAATAATATGAATAAAAAAGTATATTGAAAAGTATACGAAATTCTCTAAATAGTATAATAATGAGTCGGAGTTATTTAGTGAAGTAGAGTAGTAGTGAGTGAAGGGAATTTAATAAAATGATATAATAAATGATATATAAATGACTAATATTTGATATTCTGACATCACATTATTATTATTATTATTATTATTTTGAAACGTCCAAGAAGGAAGTAAGTGTCGTCATAATAGCATAACGATATTAACAATTATTGTCTTTACTTAATAAAGGGAATCTATATTTGACAGGTTTTTTTATGCATTATTCATGCATTATCATGCATTATTCTGTCATTTTTAGATTAAAAATCGTGATAAAAATTGATATATCGACCCTAAAATAAAAAAAAAAATTTCTTTCCCTCTGATTGAAATTAATTTGACATATTTATTATATATAATTTAATTAAAATTATTATAATTATATTTTTTTTAAACAAAAATGATAAACGAGAATAAGGCAATTATTACTGAAACTTATATGGTAAGAAATAAAATTTATAAATTAAATAAATAATAATTATCATTATCATTACCAATTATTATAATTTATTATAATTATTAAATTAATAGCAATCTTTCGATACATATGAAATTATCGGTATTTAATGCTTTAATATTTAATATAAATATTTTATAATATTTAATGATGATGATGATGCTTAATAATGCTTAATATTTAATGCTTAATATTTAATATTTAATATTTAATGCTTAATATTTAATATTTAAATATTTAATGTTTTTAATATTTAAAATAAAAATAGAGCCTGAAGCCATAAACACCATCGAATCCTTGGTTAGTTAATTTTTAATATTTATTTATTTTTTTGTGTTGAAATCTATTATAAATTTATTATAAAATCTATTATTATAAATTTATTATAAAATCTATTATTATAAATTTATTATAAATTTATTATAAATCTATTATTATAAATTTATTATAAATTTATTATAAATCTATTATTATAAATCCACTGTAATATACATTCTTATTATTTATTTTTTTTTTAAAAAAAAAAAGACCGAAGATACTCCAATGGCAGAGTATTTTAGTGATGATGATGATAATTGCAATAACAATAATGATGACAATGATAACAATAATGATGATTATAATAATAATGATAATAATGATAATAATGATGACAGTAATAATAATAATAATAATAATAATAATAATTACAATTATTATGAAATTTTCGAAGGTGATTTATCAGATGTCCCAAATTATTGTTCAGATTGTGAATCGTTATCGGATAATGAAAACGACACAAAGGAATCATCAATTGATGTTAGTGAGTTGATTGGATTCACCAATTTAAATGATACCATCACTCAAGCTTTCATTTATAAATTAAAAGAATATCAACTTTATGAAACGATGGCAATTTTAATTAAAAGTGGAAAATTAAGATTGGATCAAAATGAAATACCAAAGAAAGTTCGTAATATGATCGAACGTAAAGGTGATAATATTCCTGAATTGAAGAATATTCGTGAAGTATTTTATAAAGAAACTGAAGCGATAAAATTTAATTGGATGAATAATTAAAATATTTTAATAGATAAATAATAAATAAATAGATTAATATATATATGTGTGTGTGGGATAAATGGTCGAATTTTTAATTTTGATTTTTTTTTTTTTTAAAAAAAAAATTGATATCCAAGTTTCTAAATAATTACATTCGTTTTTGTTTTATTAACAATAATATTTTAACAATTCGAAAATTATTTTCTTTGAATTTTAATATTATTTTATATCAACCTACTTATATTATTATTATAATTATATTATTTTATATTATATATTATTATAATCATCTTTATTTATTTTCTCTTTTGATATAAAATTTCACCTTTTGATGATGTAATTAAATCAAAAATAAAATATAATACAAGATATGAAATTAAAAAAATTAATTGATTTTTATTTTTTACCAATTGAAATAAAAAAAAACCCATCCCATCCCTAAATCTAATTTTTTTTTCCCAAATTATTTATTTTATTTTACCCAAACAAAGAAAATATATATAAAAATATATAAAATATTATGTAAATTATTATTATGTGTAAAATATATAAAAAATATATATATATATAATTATATATGAATATATCCAAAAGAATATAAAAATATATAAAAAATATATATATAAAATATTATTATAATAATTTTCATAATGCACATGCAAGAATAATAATAAGAAACAATAAAATTAAAAATGATACAAATGAAATGACTAATATCTTTTGATATTTGTTAATAAATTCAAATATTGATGGATGATTGGTTTCTAACCATTTAATAAATTTTCTCAACGAATTATTATTATCATCAAGAGAATTTTTATCTAATGAAGAAGGTTCAATTGGTAACTTGGGTAAATCTTTATCCATTATTATTACAGTATTTCTCTTTTGTTCTCGATTAGGTGGATCACCTTCACCATCCCATTCTTCTTCTATGATTTCAATAAATTCTTCTTTCTCATCATCATAAATTGTATATCGATGTATTTTAAATTGTGATTGGTGTTTTTGTTGTTTACTCTCTTCTGACCTTTTAAGAAGTGAAAGTGAACGACGCAATAATGATTTCGGGGTTGTAGTTGTATTAGATTCAATATCAAAAGTTACGTAGGAAGAACTTTTGATAACATTGTTATTATTAAAGTTATTATTATTATTATTATTATTATTATTATTAAAGTTATTATTATTATTATTAAAGTTATTATTATTAAAGTTATTATTATTATTAGAGTCGTTATTATTACTTGAATTATTACTAGAGATATTATTAAATTTGATAGTAGGTGTTTTTGGTAAATTATTTAAATTATTACTATTTCGAATTAAATTGGTTTGATCGTTATCCGAAGTAGTAATAGAATCCGAAGATGACGAGCGAGTGATAGAAAGAGATGACGATGGTGAAATTGGTGCTTTTGATGAATAATATGAACTCGCCGTCAATACGGTATCGGGTTTTTGCAATTTACCCATTTCTTTTTTTTTTTTATTATTATCAGAAAAGAAAAAGAAGTTAAGGAAAATGCGTTATGATGATGATGACGAACTAAAATACGTGTGTTTGTATGTGTTCGTATGTGTGTTTGCGCGCGCTTGTGCGTATAAGTATGTTGATGTAAATATATCTATATATGTATAATAAAGTATATATGTAAAAGCGTATATGTAAAGTGTATATATGTGAAGGATATACCTGAAATATATATTTAAACTGTATAATAAGTTTATATGTAAAGTTAAGTTTAGAAATATCAAATTCCTTTCTTTTTTTTTTTTTTTTCGTTCGTTTTTACTAATACAGTCGTTATAAAAAAGAATAAATATTTTTTTTTTTAAATGAGGTTTTACCAATTTTGTAAAATTGGTTAAATTATTTGGAATACGAGCATCATTGTTTATTTGCCGTTTACAGAATTTAAACAAATCAAAAATTTGGTAGTAAATAATTTACAACCATATTTAACCTGAAATTTAACTGAACTGGATTTAACTGTTTAGTATTATGAAATAATTTTATTAATTACTAATAATAATATATAGTAATAAATAATAATCATTTAAAATATCAAAAACATGCTAAAATAAATGAAATACCTCGTGAGACATTTTACAAAAGCGATTTTGACGATGTTTTATTGGTGAAAATTAAAATTTTAATCCTTGACTGTAACTGTTTCAACATTTCTTGGAACCGAAATATCGAAAAATCGAAAAATCTCATTAATTAACAATTTAAACAATTAACGATAAAAAAGTAAAGTGACAAAGCTAAACCATTTATATTTTCATTCAAAAACGTCTATTATGAGAATTAATAAACAATAATCATAGTGAGAGAACATTCTTCTTTGTTTAAAACACTTTATCATGTTGGTAATATATATCAACAAATATCAATAAATGTTTAAGCGCTTTATTTTGTTTCAATGCAATGAGTCAATTAAGGATTATTTCGATCGTAGCAATACCTGTTCTATTTTTTTTTATTTTTTTTTTGAATTATAAAATTTATTCTTCGTAAAATTTAAAGAGTTTTACATTTAAAATAACTTTCTTTTTGTCTTCTTTAATAAGATTTTTTCTAAGAATATTATTCTGGTTAATTATATATGGCTCAGTAAAGAATTGTTGAATTGTCCATTTTTATTTGTCATAATCTTGACTTATTATAAAATTTCATTTTGGAGCGAATGCTCCATTGGTTTAAAAAAAAAAAAAAAAAACTTGTGAAAATTTATTCAAAAAATTTTAAGCCAAAATCTAATTTTTCTTAAAGATTTATTCACAAAAATAATTTCGACACGGAAATACTATAATAAGATTAAAAACTAGATTTTAATACGTTAAAAAATGTCAATATTTCGTGGGAATCACATTTCTTCGGTGCTCTCTTCTCTTATAATTCAATAACATAATAATACAGTATATTATATGTATCAAATAAATAAATAAAAGATAACCTTTTCTGTAGTAATAATAATGATCCATGTGATGTGTATCAATTGCATGTATGTTAGAGCTAGAAAGGTAAAAATAATTAGGAATTATTATTAAATCTAGACCCCTTGTCCATTGAAACGCTAAATCTATTACCAAAGATTCTATGACCAAGTATAATATCTTTATTAATTGATCATCATTTAGAAAAAAAAAAATCTTAACCAAATCCACGTGATTATTTCGTTTGACTAATTTGAAAAATGATTTTGTTTATAAAAGTGAATGTGGCAAATCACGTGATACCATGTACATTAAATAATGAGTACACAAAACATGGTACTAAAATATGCTTGACTCTATATGGATAAACAAAGAACCTAGTGTTTGATGGATATTATTAGAATTATTCTCAAAGATTTGAATGTCCGTGATATACTTTCGGCACTTCTAGTTAACCGAGAATGGTGTCGAGCTGCCGTTCCATTTTACTGGAAAGCTCCATTTAGTTTTACCAGTAAAAGAAGCAGGGCCGCACTAAAGATTTATCAAATGTATCTTGAACAGGGAAGTAGTAGTACGTCCGCGCAGGGTGAAGCTCTAAAGGTTTTACCCTTTTTCGATTATCCATTATTTATCAAAGAACTCAATTATACGAACTTATTGATGTTGGTCGAAAAAATTGAATTAATACTTCAAATGTTAACAGACCGAGGGGCTCGTCTTGAAACTTTTATTATTGAGAATGTCCGTGTATATAATTATAATGAAGTTTATGGATTATGGACAAGACCATGCTATGTCCCATTATTCAATACCCTTATTCACGTTGAAGTACATTTCCCTTTTATGAATAATAATTTCATAAAGCCATTAGCAGAAAATTGCGCGAGACTGGTATGTTTACACTCATAAATGGTGTATTGCATGAACTTTTTCAAAAAAAATTTTTTTTTCTTCGATATTTGATATTATCTTTAAATACTCATTATATCTTGAGGGTCATCACTCTCAGTAAATCTTTAATATTTTGAATTGCTTCCTCCAGTCCCATCTCGACATCAATCTTTACATTAACAGACAATTTGCTAAAGAATCGATCAATTCTCTCGAGAAACTTATCTCTGCTCAGCGATGCCCTTTGAATCTTCGGCTGGTGTATCCAAACGGACCTGGGCACATGCTTATCAAAGCATTTCAGTCCGGACTTGAATATTTTCAAAGACTTGAACTTGTAAAATGGAACTTTGCTGGGTGTGATTGGAGTTGGTTAAATAATTGTCCAAATTTGACCGAATTTGCAATTACAAATCCTCCACCTCAAGTTTTTAAAATTTTGGGTACAGAGAATGAATCTTATCTCTTTAGACCATCGCTAAATAAGAAGTCAAGAGTTTTAACTGAACATTGGCATTTTGACAAAGATGACGACGAAATCTCCTCAATGCAAAAATTTTTCTTTCACCATAAAAAATCATTGAGGGTACGATATGATCCAAGGATAGTTAGTTGAATGGTAAAGACTTTGCACGAATTTTTACGAAGGTGAAGATGATTAAGATGATTTTGAGGATTATTTTGGTATAATGTCTTATGACTGATTGAAATTTCAAGAATCCTCAGAATATACTTAAATTAGACAAATCTTTGATTTTGGTAGTTATTGTTTTGTAACAAGAGAATGATGATTATTTATTTATTTATTTATTTAATAAAACAAAGAATCTGGTTTTTTTTTTCCTAATGGCATCAAATATCAAATAGTATAAATTTTGATAACATCGTATTTATTCATGTATTCGGGAATTTAGTTCTCATCCACGAAAGCTTTAGCAGCTCCACATTAACATGCTTTATCCTCCGTGATTAAAATTAGCATTACTACCGAGGGAATGGCCCATGTTTTGTTTTTTTTACTAAATTGATCAGTCGCTATTCTTTCACGATATAGACATATTATGAAAGATTAAGATAAAGAGATCAATCCTTGATCATACTAAAATGGTCTTTACAACTGAAAATTGGGAAGAAGCAATCAGAATTGGACTTGAATTACCTTAGGATGAACTGGTGGCGTGAAAGTTAGAATATGCGCAGTTAGATAATTCAACTTGTTTTTGAACTACTTCTGATCCAGATATACTCTTACGTGAGAATCGATCATTTATTATTATTTTTTTTATTAATGTAATTTATTTGCGACATTTTAAACATTATTAAACAAATAAAGAAGAGAATTAAGTTTAATATAGCATAATAAACATAATGCGACAAAAATTAATTTTTAATTACTCAATGTGAAAGAAATATTCCTTTCTGATGTTAACCGCCTTATAACACTTTATCATTTCATGTTATCACGTCATATTCGCACATAAAGTTTTCATTTCATTCTTATTTAGATTGTTTGAATTGATTTCCCTGTTTTTTTAAACATACAAATAAATCCAAATAAATATGTATTAAATATTAACCGAGCAAATAATTTAAAATTTATTTGAAATCAATGAGTTGATTTCGATCGTAGCTCTCTTTTTTTTTGATTATAAATTTTTATCTTCGAAAGTTTCTCGGAGTTTTTTAAAGTTTTACATTTAAAATAATTTATTTCTCGTCTTCTTTAAGATTTTTTCTGAGACTATTATTCTGGTTAATTATATCAACTCGGTAAAGAAATGTATATTTTTATTTGTCATAATTTGATTTTTTATAAAATTTCATTTTGGAGCGAGGCTCCGTTGGTTTAAAAATTTTGTAAAATTTATTAAATTATTATTATTTTTTTTTTAAAGGAAATCTAATTACGGTATAATTGTCAGGTATTTTAAAATGTCAGTATACATTCGTGGAAGAGTATATAAATCATATTACTTCAGTGCTCTACTCATAGTGCTTTGTTAATAATTTATAATTCGATAGCACAATAATATGTATCAAATAAATAAAAAAAATATAAACGTGAACAATTATAGAGATCTTTCATATTCTTTAATTGCTCTTTTTCTTACTTTTCCTTTCCATGTTTACCATACCACTTCTTGGTAATCCAAATCCTGTATAGGAATATTCCATATGAGCGTGTCATGTTAGGTAAATTCTTTAAATAAAAATAATTAGTAATTATTTTTTTTTGACTAAAAAAAAATATAGACTATTGAAACGCACGCTAAATATAATACGTCTTTGATTTTATGGTAATTTATCAATTAATTTATTAATCTATTTTTTAAATTATTTTATCATTTATCATCATCATTTAGACAAATATAACTTGATATAAAAAAACTTTATATAAAACTCCATACATCATTGTCTTAATGTTTGCGCTTGTAATACAAAAAAAGTGCTCCATCACGTGATATTATTGTTAAATATAAACCCGAAGATTACACATACTGCATTTATGTATCAGTTGATAGAAGGTTTTTGTAATGGAGGATATTATTAGAATTATTTTCAAAGATTTGGATGTCTGTGATATACTTTCGGCACTCTTAGTTAACCGAGAATGGTGCCGAGCTGCTGTCCCATTTTACTGGAAAGCTCCATTTAGTTTTACCAGTAAAAGAAGCGGGGCCACACTAAAGACTTATAAAATGTTTCTTGAACAGGGAAATATTACGTCCGCTCAGGGTGAAACTCAAAAGGTTCTACCCCTTTTCGATTATCCATTATTTATCAAAGAACTCAATTATTCGAACTTATTGATGTTGGTCGAAAAAATTGAAGTTGAATCAATACTTCAAATGTTAACAGACCGAGATGTTCGTCTTGAAACTTTTATTATTGAGAATGTCCGTGTATATAATTATAATGATGTTTATAGATTATGGACAAAACCATGCTATGCCTCAATACTCAATACCCTTATTCACGTTGAAATACATTTCCCTTTTATAAATAATGATTTCATAAAGCTATTAGCAGAAAATTGCATGAGACTGGTATGTTTATACTCATAAATAGTGTGTTTCCATGCACTTTTTCAAAAAAATAAAAAAATTTTTTTTTTGAGAATCATCACTCTTGGTAAATCTTTAATATTTTGAATTGTTTCCTCCAGTCCCACCTCGATATTAATATTTACAATAACTGTAAATTTGCTGAAGAATCGATCAATTCTCTCGAGAAACTCATCTCTGCTCAGTGATACCCTTTGAATCTTCGGTTGGTGTTACCAAACGGACCTGGGGACATGCTTATCAAAGCATTTCAGTTCCGACTTGAATCTTTTAAATGACTTGAACTTATAAAATGGAACTTTTCCAGATGTGATTGGAGTTGGTTAAATAATTGTCCAAATTTGACCAAATTTGCAATTACAAATCCTTCACTTCAAATCTCTAGAATTTTGGGTACAGAGCATGAACCTTATCATTTTAAACCATCGAAAAATAATAGGAAGTCAAGGGTTTTAACTGAACATTGGCATTTTGACAAAGATGCCGGAATATATTTAATGCCAAAGTTTTACTTTCATCCTCGTAAATCATTGACGGTGCCATATGGAGCTCCCACTGTAATCCAAAAAATCCAACAACCAATGATGTATCCGATCTGGAGTGCGTCTCTAATCGAACTACATATTATTAATGAACCTTCAAATATAGTTGAGAAATTCCAAAAAATTTCCAGAATTCCCAGAATTCCTAGAATTCCCAAAAATCAAAGAATTCCCATAATTCCCAAAAATCAAAGAATTCAAAGAATTCCTGGAATTCCCAGAAATCAAAGATTGTTTGTATCAAGAGAATGAAAATTATTTATTTATGTAATAAAATAAAAGAATCT